TCATGCATATATGCACACAAGGTCTTTGGTTGATCACCTCCCACCCACCCAGCCTCCCCCGCCTTCCCTCCGAGATTCCGCACTCTGTTCCCTGCCTCCATGTCTCTGGATCCACTCCGTTCATCCGTTTATTTTGTTACTTAGATTCCACGCAGGAGTGAGATCACGTCATACTTGTCTTTCTCTGACGGGCTTATGTCACTTAGCACGATGCTCTCCAGGACCCTCCGTGCTTGAGTTTTTGGTGTTTGTGTGGTTGTTGTTGTTTTGGCCTCACAGAATCCGCCTTTGTTAGCGTCCTGTGCCCCGGCGGGTTGTAGACTGGATGATGTCCGGGTCCACACCAGTGTCTGGTGTCCTCTCGGCTGTACCGACCTAGACTCCTCTCTGCCCTCGTCTCGGGCCCACAGAAGCCCAGGACGAAAGACGGTGCCTTTAGAGTTGGTGTGAGGTCGGACACGTGGGAGAGGGTTAATGAGTGTGGAAGGGTTTGGGGCTAAATGCAGTCGGCTTTGTGCAAACACTGTTTCTTTATGGCAATAACAATCCCTCATTAGCCCAGAAGAAGCGGTTTCCCTGGGCCTTGTGGTGCCTCCCGCAGGAGAGGGCTGGGCGAGCGTCCATCTCAGGGCCCAGGGCCTCTGCTTCCCCCTCGCTCGTCTGGAGGGTCTCAGACCCTTGGGTTTGGGCCCTGGTTCCACGACGGGGAACACTGATGTGGAAAGCGGTATCACACATCCCGTGACCGGTGAGGGTGCCCGCCCAACTGCAGTCTTCATTTTTTTTAATACATTTTTATTGACTTCAGAGAGGAAGGGAGAGGGAGAGAGAAATAGAAACATCAATGATGAGAGAGAATCATGGACCTGCTGCCTCCTGCACACCCCACACTGGGGATCAAGCCCACAACCCGGGCATGTGCCCTGACCGGGAATCAAACCATGACCTCCTGGTTCATAGGTCGGCGCTCACCCACTGAGCCACGCCGGCCGAGCCCATCTTAGTCTTCAGAGTGACTGTGAGCGTGACTTTGAAGTAGAAATCCCCCGTGTGGCTTTCCACCCGCATGTGTCGTCAGGAGCTGCCCCAACCAGGTACCACTGACTCTGTTGTCTCCCTGCTCCCGGCTCTGGAGGCTGGAGCCCCTGATGGAGGCCCTGCCCACCCAGTACACTATCTCTTTCTCTCTCTCTTTTTTTAAAAATAAATCTTTATTGTTGAAAGTATTACCTATGTCCCTTTTTTCCCCCATCGCCCTCTCCCCTCCTCCCACCCCATGAGGCCTCTCCTCCTGGCCGCAGACAGCTGACGTCCGGCTGTGTCCTCACCTGGCTCCTCCCTCTACTCTGAGTGGGGGAGAGAGAGACAGAGAGACAGAGAGCGAGCCCACCACACCTGTCAGTTAGGGCCCCGCCCTGATGACCTCCTTTAACCTTTGTTCCCTCCCTCACGGCCTTATCTCTCAATGCAGTCACATTGGGGTCACAGTTTAAACATACGAATTGGGGGAGGGGGGGCGGGAATAGGGCTCAGTCCATCGCACCAGCTAAAATGATGGCTCTGCTTCTCAGGAAATCCCCGTGGGGGAGGCACTGCCAGGGGCTCCTCTGCCACTTGAGCTTTCGCACATGCTCTGTCCACTCATTCTCGTTCCTCTTCCAGATCAGCATCTTCATGACCCACCTGTCCAACTACGGCAATGACCGCCTGGGGTCCTACACCTTCGTGAACCTGGCCAACTTCGTGCAGAGCTGGACCAACCTGCGCCTGCAGACGCTGCCGCCTCTGCAGCTGGCCCGCAAGTACTTCGAGCTCTTCCCGGAGCAGAGGGACCCGCTCTGGCAGGTAACACGGGCGTGGGGTGGGGGGGTGAATCAGGGGGCGGGCAGAGAGACTATGAGTGCCGATCGGGGGTAGGAGCTCAGCTGCAGAGAGTACAGCAGGCGTTTGGCACACGCTTCTTTATCCAATGGTTTTCTCCTCTTCAGTGATGCGTTTTGTTTGATGGGCTAAGTGTTTGTGTGTTTCTGTTGTGTTGCTTTCCTGAGGTTTTGGTTGTTGGTCCGGTTGGTTGGGGACTTCTGCATCGAGGATGTAGTTTGATGGTTCATGTCTTCTCGGGGTGAGGGTGTCTCACCCTGGGAATGGGAGGGAATAGACAGCCAAGCGCCATCATCTAAGGCCCCTCGACTAGACTCTGACATGGGTGTGTACAACCCATGGAGAGGGCGGGGGCAGGGGCAGGGGCGGGGAAAACAAAAAGCGAAGAGCCTTTCTTCACCTCATGCTTAACACAGTCCGTCTTTAACACGTCGCTATGTTCCTTTAGATCTAACCAACCCTCTGCTAGGATCCGATCTATTAATAAAAGAACCACTGCCCAGCCAGCACTGCTCAGTTGTTAAGCATCAGCCTATGAACCAGGAGCTCACGGTTCGATTCCCGGTCAGGGCACATGCCCAGGTTTCGGGCTCGATCCCCAGTGTGGGGCATGCAGGAGGCAGCCAATCCATGATTCCCTCTCATCATTGATGTTTCTCTCTCTCCCTCTCCCTTCCTCTTTGAAATCAATAAAAATATATTTAAAAATAAAATATAATAATAATAAAGGAATCACCAGCGTGAGGATTGCTTTTACAGACAGTGGGAGCCTCATACCCTCAATGCCTGGGACACAAACCCTCTGCTCTGCAGCCTCAGCTGGAAAAGTTGCCTCCCCCCGGCTCTTCCCGATGCACCAACCACGGGGCTGGTGAACCGGCTGCAGAGCAGGTCTGAGGGCCCGCCGAGCAGGAGGCAGGAGCAGCGTCACTCAGGAGAAATCCCTGCGGGACAGACTCAGCGTCCTCTCCCCTCTCCTCCGGCCGGTGCTGCGCTCTCCTCCAGGATCCCTGCTGCGTGTCGCAGTCTGGGTGGCGGGATCCACCCAACGCATGTCCACTGAGCATCCCCAGGCGTGAGGCTAGGCTGCTGCTCGAGAGAAAGCAGGGAGCAGAGGACAGGGTTTCCTCCTGGAGCCGTGGAGGGTCCCTGTGGGTCTGGCTCGCCGGGACGTGTGTCACAGACTCGTGGAGACAACTGTGACCCTGAACCCGGCCCGTTCTGGTGCCGCTCTCAGCAGGTTAACAAGGTGGGAGTCTCACACTCGCAGTAAGCGGCCTGGCCACCTGTGTGAGGTGATAACTTGAGAGGCCGATGAATAAGTACAGACATCCTATATAATAAAAGGGTAATATGCAAATTGACCCTAACAGCAGAACGACTGGGAATGACTGGTCACTATGACACACACTGATCACCAGAGGGCAGATGCTCAATGCAGGAGCTGCCCCCTGGTGGTCAGTGCGCTCCCACAGGAGGAGTCTGCTCAGCCACAGGCCAGGCTGACAGCTGCCAATACAGCAGTGGTGGCGGGAGCCTCTTCCGCCTCCTCAGCAGTGCTAAGGATGTCCGACTGCAGCTTAGGCCTGCTCCCCGCTGGCAAGTGGACATCCCCAGAGGGCTCCCGGGCTGCCAGAGGGATGTCTGACTGCCAGCTTAGGCCAGTTCCCCTGGGGAGCGGGTCTAAGCCAGCAGGTGGATATCCCCTGAGGGGTTCCAGACTGCGAGAGGGCACAAGCTGGGCTGAGGGACCCCCCTGAGTGCACAAATTTTTGTGCACTGGGCCTCTAGTCTATATATATAAAAGCCTAATATGCAAATTGTCCCCTTGGAGTTCGCCTGGAGACCGGGAGTTCAATCGCTCGCTATGATGTGCGCCGACCACCAGGGGACAGCACAGAATGAAGGAAGGTCCCGGCCCTGGCCCAAAGGCCCCAATTAGCCCTGATCCCCGGCCAGGCCTAGGGACCCTACCCGTGCACGAATTTCATGCACCGGGCCTCTAGTCCTTAATAAGGTGCCTACAGTCACACCCCGTCCGTGCTGAACAAAGGCAAAGCAGCGTGTCCCACACGCCTGTGACGTTGATAAATCATCGGGAGTAAACCGCTCCTGTTCTCACACACGTTTGCTTATGCGATATCTATAATTCATGGCACAATAACCAGAAAAAGCAGCGACGTAAAGAAGGGTGCTGACAGCTGACATGAAAAATGAGGCAATGCTCCCACGCTGTACTCTTTCTTCTGCTTTAGACAAAAGTGTTGTTTTCATGAAGAATGTGTATCGTTAACACTGTGAGGTTTTCTTTAGGCTAGCTAATTGTGTTTGGTTTTGTTTTTATATCAGGGGCACTATTTATTTGCTGAGGAGTGAATGGCATATGATTGGGGCACCATGAGGATTCTAAATATTGAGTGTTTGTTCAGCGTGAAACACGGGGCGGGTTTGGGGGGATCGATGAACATTAGAAATGGGACATAGCACTGTGTTTCAGGGACCTCGTCGCTGTGGAGGAGGCAGAACATCTACAGACACAGGAAACGTTGGCAGGGCCTGACGGTTCTCGTTTGAAAAGCAGCACAGAGGTCCGTTTCTGGGACACTCTTACGAAATGACAGAATTCGCCAGAAAAGGCTAGAGAGTTCGCGAGGTTCTGTTACCGTTGCTGCCATTCATATACGTTTAGAAATCTTCAGATGTGTCATCGAAACAGAGCTGCTGTAAGAGCATCTAAGCAAAGGAGAGTAAGAGACTCCCATTGCATTCTGGGAGGTGCATGGTTTATGTGGCTCCTTCAGACGGGAGGTGACGTTGCAAACATTTCACATGAACCAAAGCCACGCCTTCTCAGATGGATCTCAGAAGCAGGCGAGGGAGGGGAGCGGACGGCGGTGAGGGTCAGGGGATCACTCGGGCCCACGGCGGTTGGCAGCGGCTGCCGCGTTGAAGAAAACCTGACAGACTCTGTGGACCACGAGCAGCGTCCGAGGCTGCGGGAGGCTCCAGAAAGATAAAGCACAAACGCTGCCCAGCTCCTTCCCCGCGAGTCTCTCCTCGCCTACTCGTAGTTACGGTAGCAACACGCCCAGCTGTGGGCATCAGCAGCCGGGCCTTTATACAGGGTTCCGTTTCGTCAGAAACATAAACACAGCCCGGCTGGTGTGGCTTAGGGGTTGAGCGTCGTCCCAGGGACCAAGAGGTTTGGGGGTTCAATTCCCGGTCAGGGCACGTGCCCGGGTTGCAGGCTCGATCCCCAGTAGGGGGCGTGCAGGAGGCAGCTGACAGATGTGTCTCTCTAATTGATGTTTCTATCTCTCTCTCCCTCTCCCTTCCTCTCTCTCTAAAGTCAATAAAATCATATTTTAAAAAACATAAACGCATAACTGGCACCAATTCTTTCTCTCCCTTTCCCTTCCTCTCTCTCTAAAGTCAATAAAATCATATTTTAAAAAACATAAACGCATAGCTGGCACCAATTAAACATTTTCTAGCCCATTCGCCACAGCCCTACAGAGTCAGGCAGATGGGGCTACAGTGTCTGTCGCTGTGTACAGTCTCAGATTCCGTGTGTGGGGATGTGTTTGTATTGCTAAGCGTGCATTCCTACGTAGCGTGGTTCGCTCTTAAAAACTCAGTCGACGGTCATTTTCCATTAGATTTTTAATTCACACTTTTTCTATTACCACAAATAAAAAGAAAACGTTCACAGCAATAAGCTTCGCATCTGTTTTTTTAACTTTTTTCTTATCATTGACAGCCTTTGCATCTAGTTAATCTCCTCTGGCTCCTTATGTCCATTTTCGTTAGCACCCGGGCCTGTGGCCTGACTGCCGTGTCCGTGAAACTGCATGTCGCCTCATTAAAAAGTGCCACGTGAGTGTCCGCCCACGGACAGCCGCAGGGCCACCAGCGTGCTGAGCTCCTTCGAGGGGGCTGAGTCTCTCAAAGCTGTCGCGTGGGACGTGTGCCCACAGCAGGCGGAAATCTGCCCCCACGTGTGCCCTCCTCGTGTACCCCTGGGGTGGGGGGCCCTAAAGATTACGTTCCCGGGTTCCTGGAAATTCATGTCCCCTTTGTTTTGATGGAATAATCCTGAGGAAGCATGAAGGAGGGTTCCTCTTTTTGTAAAATATATTTTTATTGATCTCAGAGAGGAAGGGAGAGGGAGAGAGAGAGAAACATCAGTGATGAGAGAATCATTGACCGTCTGCCTCCTGCACACCCCATACTGGGGGAACCCACAATGCCCTGACCGGGAATCAAACCTGGGATCCTTCAGTCTGCAGGCTGACGCTCTATCCACTGAGCCAACCAGCCAGGGCCAAAAGCACGGGTTTGAATGGTGAAGACGTGGGCCGTGGGAGAGGAGGGTGTGGCCTGCTGTGGGTGTGCGGCCAAGAACGAGCTCACAGAAGCCTGGCTTTCCTGGGTCCTGGCCCCCTCGCTTGCCCTCCTGCCTTGGGGAAGGGCAATGAAGCCACCTGAGCAAGCGCCTGGCACCCCCACCACCGAGACACCGTCTTCGTCGCGTTCTCTGCGAAGAAACTCAGCAAGTGGAGGCCGTGGCAGCTACGTTTCTATTGCCTGACATCAAAACACAGCGAGGAATCATATGTAGTGCTTTCAACAATACAGAATTATTGATGAAAAAATAGACCCAGAGCCACAAAATAATAATATCCACCGAGGAAGAAAGCTCTTCACAAAGGAGCAGTGTGAGCAGCAGTGTGAGGAGCAGGTGTGAGTCCGAAGTGCTGGGTGAGCCGCGGGAGCCAGCGCTGGGGCCACCGGGAGAGACACTGGAGCCGGTTTTCTGCAGGAGACACGGAGGGACAGGCCCACGCAGTCCCCGTGAGGTCAGCTTTGGAGCAGGTGGCAGCGCCCCCTGCCCCATCAGCACTGCTCCCGCCCGTCCTGGCAGCCGAGCCGTCCACGCCCTCACTCTCAGGCCCTGTCCTGCGTTTTACCGGTTTCATTACAGCAACGAGGGTCTGCTGGTCCGCGAGCTCACTCCAGTGAACACAGAAGTATGACCGATATCCTGGCACTATTATGTAAATCATGTAAAACACCACCAACCCGTCCTGAGTAAGACTGTGCCGGCACAGAAATTGGGGAGGAGGCTAGGACAGGAAGTGCCATAGAGACAGGAGCCGGGACAGCCCTCACGGGGAACATTGGAGTTGACAGCTGAGAATAAGTGCTACATCCGTTAGTGGGCGAGTGGCAGGAGCCAGGCAGCAAGTGCATCCATAAATGAATGGACCAGCAGGGTCCATATAGGGTCTTGGGTCAGCGTAGGGCCCTACAGTGCGATTGAAACTTCGTGGCCCATGCGCAGAAGTCGGTTTTCGGCCTGGGCGAGTCTATTTTGAAGAAGTACTGTTGATATTTGGCTCTGTTGACTAATGAGTTTGCCGGCCACTGGCCTAGGGCATCCTCTACCCTCGAGGCGTCTGAAGAAGCCCCAGCTCTCTCCCTGTCCAGGAACCCAAATCCCAGCCGTCTAGTCCTCCAGGAACTCACATCCCACACGTCTAGTCATCAGATGGTGACAGAAAATTCCTCGTGGTGGGGCAGCCACCCAAGGTGCATGCTTTCTGACAGGGGACCAGGACATCTGCCCTCAGGACAGACATTGGCCACAGACCCATCCTCAGCGAAGGTGAGGTCTCTGCTCCGCCAATGGCCTAACTCACCTGGATAGAGAAAGGGCTGGGCTTTGTGGGGGTCTCACAGTGAGCACTCGCTCTCCCAGAGCTCAATGTCCTCATTTTAAACACAGAGACGCATCGAATGCCCTCAATACCCACGTGAGGTAGGTACACCAACCTTACTTTGTGAACAAGGAAACTGGATCCCAGAGAATTTAGGAAAATTGCTGAACACCCAGGCAGTCTCCCCTGAGCTCAGACTCTTAACAACTGATTAAATAAGGCAGGTTTAAGGTAGTTATTAGCTTATGCTAAAAGAATTGGCAACATGTTGATCAAATTGGAAAAACATAGGGCATTGCCCAGAAAAATAGGCTATTTCCAGACTGTAGAGCAGGTTTGCATGTGTCTGCAACGGCGGGCACAGCGTGATGGTGGCCACAGCGTGATGGTGGCCACAGTGTGACCACAGGCACAGCTAACGGGGCAGAACGGGCTCCTCGCTGACCAGCCGTGACCTTGAGCTGCCCGGACGCGCCCAGCAGCCACGCCCTGCGCAGGCCACCTGCTCTGGCTGGAGTTCCGTTTCCCTCGTGGCAGGATGTCCCGGCGAGGGGTGTGGCGATTCTCAGCCTGACCCCAGCCCTCACCTTCTCCAGAGAAGTGCCATGAAATGCAGTGAGTCAGAGCACAGGCCCTGTCGCCGTGACAAGGACGCTCTGCAAATACAGAGGCGAGTAAACAATGTCTGCCTCCTCACAACTGTGTACAGACGGGCAGGAGGTCGGCTCCGCTCCATGTGGTCACCCAGGGCCCCAGGTGGCCGGTGCTCAGCGCACAGGCGACCTCTCTTCTGGGGCCAGGAGCGCACCAGGTGGCCTGAGGGCACCCGGCTCAGCACCCCGGGGCACCTGCTGTGTCTGCCCTGGGGATTGATCGGAACTCTGCTAGACACCCTCTTGCACCAGAGGCCGGAGTCCACGGTCCGCCGGGCCCCTCTGCCTGCCTCCTGTGGGAGGTCCTTGTTCTGGGGCCACTCAGAACCAGTGGCCCTGTGCACACCCGGCCAGCGACACTGCAGCGTCCCCTGGAGCAAGGAGATGCTGCTCCAAACCCAGAGGCCGTGCAGCCCGATGCGCTTTCTCAGCTGCAAAGCACAGGGACGCTCCCCTCACTGTGAGAGGGTGTCCTGGACTTGCCGGACACTGGACCTCAGAGACCCTGACATCCGGGCCCTGGAACCTGCCAGGGGGCCTCCCCTCTGAGCTCGCGTCCACCACGGCAGGTAGAGTGACCACCTGGACCTGCCGGGTCCGACTAGCATCGGCCACCAGCTCAGCAGGCTGGCAAGACCCCAGGGATGTAATGGTGATCTGGGGCCTCCGGGCTCTGTAATGACACCGACAAGAATGAGCTTTGAAACTTATTTCTGAGAAAACTATTGTTTTGAGGAACAGATATATTGAACGTTTTTCCCTTCAGTGCTATTCACCTTCTTTAAAAACAAAACAAAGCTTTAAAACAAGGAGAGGGGCTGAGTAAATTACATAATGAGAATTGGAATGAAATTGAGGGTTTCACAGGGCATTCTTTCATTAAACTCTAGAAGTTCAACTGTGGTTAGCATTTCTTGACATATCTCCTACCTTTTATTAAAATACTAGAGGCCCAATGCACGAAATTCGTGCAAGAATAGGCCTTCCTTACCCTGGCTGCCGGCACCTGCTTCCCTCTGGCACCTGGAACCTGGGCTTCCCTCACAGCCCTGGCTAAGATTATAAGAGAGGGTTTCACGTGCCAGCAAAAGTTGCCCACCCATGTTCTAGGTCAGGGGTGGGCAAACTTTTTGACTCGAGGGCCACAATGGGTTCTTAAACTGGACCGGAGGGCCGGAACAAAAGCATGGATGGAGTGTTTGTGTGAACTAATATAAATTCAAAGTAAACATCATTACGTAAAAGGGTACGGTCTTTTTTTTTTTTTAGTTTTATTCATTTCAAATGGGCCGGATCCCATTTTTATACATTTCAGTATAAAAAAAATTGAACCAAAAAGATTTCCCTTTAACAGAATTTACTCTGAGCTTACCTCAACCCGGGTCGATGCTCAACCACTGAGCTATGCCAGCCAGGCTCTCCTAACTTTAATTAATGAAATTGTACTCGGAGCTGGAATGGAGTGGGGTTAAGAAGTCTGGTTTTGCAGAAGCTGTGTTGGACAACATGGTCAAATGAATCATAATTACAGACAACTTCTCTGACAGGTTTACCTTGAAAAAATATCTGTCAAATAAAGGGCCCTCTAACTGAAAATCACTGTGAAAATATTTGGTCTCTAATATTTAAACATTTCAGTATGAAAAAAAAATTGAATGAAAGGATTTTCCTTTAACAGAATTTACTCTGAGCTTACCTCAACCCCATAGAGAAAACACTTCCCCAATCAAAAGCATAGCGGCCGAGCCCTGGCCGGGTGGCTCCGTTGGCTGGAGAGTTGCCCTATATATCATTGGTAGTTTGTTCAAATCCCAGTCAGGGCCTATGCCGAGGTTGTGGGTTCGATTACTGTCAAGGTGTGTACAGGAGGCAGCTGATTAATGTTTCTCTCTCTCTCTCCCTCCCTCTCTATATAATCAATAAAAACATATCCTCAGCCTGGCCAGCGTGGCTCAGTGGCTGAGCGTTGACCTCTGAACCAGGAGGTCACGGTTCAATTCCCGGTCAGGGCAAATGTCTGGGTTGCGGGCTCGATCCCCATGTGGGGGGTGCTTGAGGCAGCCGATCCATGATCCTCCCATCAGTGATGTTTCCATCTCTCTCTTCCTCTCTCTTCCTCTCTGAAATCAATAAAAACATATTTTTTAAAAAAGAAAAGAAAAAAGAAACACAAAACAACATGTCGCCGGGTGAGGATCGAAACAGAAAACAACGAAGACGCAGTGGCCAGTAGAGAAGGGGCTGGCAGCGAGCAGGACGGGTCCTGAACCAGGAAGGGCCTTGGGGAGGGGCCATGTGGCCGAGGACCGAGGGGGCGTCGGTGTGGACGTCCGTGACTGGTCACCTGTGTCACTTTCCATACTCGATAGAAACATCATTGTTTTCCTACCCAACATGCTGTTCAGAGAGAATGTCATGAGCGTGATGTTTGACTGTCTTTGCTTTTGAATTGGTGACATCATAAAGCCAATTGCCAGCCAGTGAATGTTTCAGAAGTGCATCCTTCCCGTCGAAGGGCCCGGGAATTCTCAGAAGCGTCCTGGTTTGGGTGAGAACCCTGGTCCCGGCCGCAGAAAGGGGTGGGACGGGCAGGACAGGAGGGGAAGGTCGGGATCAGGCAAAGCTGGGCGATGGGTTGGGTCTGGGTTCCCTCGCCTCTGCTGTCCAGCAGTGACCCGGGGGGAGGAGGAGGGACAAGAGGTGGCCACAGGTATGACCCTACCTGCCACCGACTCATCGGCGGGGCCACACTGGGGTTTGGCAGGGTCGGCGGCCGGTACACAGACTGTGAGGAGAGGGAAGGAGGCCACGGCCTCGGCTGGCGTTCAAGGCTGGCCTCCCAGCCTCCAGGGGGACCGGGGAGAGCAGGCCTGAGCGCTGTCGTCCGGTTCCACCTGGAAATTGGACTCAGGGACTGAGGTTTAGTGAGAGATCTGAAAACCGCCGCACAGACGTCAACTTCTTGACGACGTCGAGTTTATGTTCTGCTACCCGGTGCTTGATTTCTGCTTTGTGTGTCTTTGCCTGAGTAACTCCTGGGTCCAGTTATTTTACAAACCAAGTTCAGGCGGTGACACAGGTACACAGACGGAGGCAGGAACGGAGGGCGAGGCCCCGGCAGCTGGGACCAGGCCCGTCCAAAGAGGGTGACCCTGGACGTCACGGGCCAGGACGGAACAGGGCCTGATCCG